ACCAGCTATATAAGTGGACAGTCCTGGGTCCTCGGGTGATGAGAAAGAGGTTGGGGCAGATTTGCCCAGCTTTGGGGTTCACGACTGGGAGTGACTGTAAGGATCCTGGGCGGCATCCTAATTCTTGCCACCGATTTTCTGGAGATGGCTTCAGACATCTTCAGACCTATGAAACCGATTTTGAACCGTACTCCTTCAGACGATGCAGAAGCAGGTTGCCTCAGAATAGACGTGGGTCGCTTGCCTCGGGTTATGCGCTCGGACCGGCCAGGCCTTGGATGGAGAGATTGAGGCTGTGGAGCACTGTTCCTTGAGCCTGGCCAGTGGAAACGGATGGAAAGCAACGGATGAGTGCTGAAGTCGAGCGTCGTACGGATGGGATCGAGGAAGGGATGAACGGTAGTGCTTCATAGATCGAGTACGGAGCAGATTCACAAAAGGAGGGACAATGGATGGACACTGGTCATGAGTTTTTGGTGTCTGATCTTCTTGAACATGGAGGATCTAGGAATGCAGACCTTCAAGTCGCTTGGGGATTCTGAGGATCACATGACTGGGATGAAAATCCTTGACCCTCCCTCCAATGAAGACTGTGGATTGTTTGCCCCCCCAAGCTCAAAACCACGAAGGCCATACGAACGAGGTAGGAGATGATTCGAATGGCTGGCCACTGGGGAATCGGGATTCACTGTTTCTTTCATCCATGTGTCCAAGACTCTTCGGCTACATCTAGACCTCCAAAGAGATAGAAAAACACAACTCCTGTCAATATGTATTTGGAACCGTTTCTATCCATTTGGGGACCGCTGTACAAGAATTTTGCTTGCTTTTTCCGTCGGTGCCCAGCACTTCAAGAATGGGAATGGACTCCCCGTCCGAACGTGGGGAGAGTTTGGAAAGCCACTCCTTGCAAAAGAGTAAGGCACTAGGAAGCTAGTAGTAACAAGTGCCTCGCTAGTAGTAACAAGTGCCTTACTAGTAGTAACAAAGAGCTATTAGAAACAAGTGACGTTTACATCTTTTTCAGGCTCTCCACCGTCTCCACCGATGGCCGATCCGGTGGCCGAGGGTTCCGGCCGCCGACACCGGTCAGGTCGCAGCCACTGCGTTTTTGGGGCGTGTGAAGTGGCGTTCGCAAGCAGCAAATCCTTGTCACATCACCAAACTCCGATCAAGCCTCCGTAAGTAAACTACTCACAACAGATGTGCTATGCCATTATGTAATTTTTGGCAGCTCGAAGAGACAACAGACAAGTGCTCCATGTGACAAACGACCGGTGCTCCACAAACCAAAAAGCTAAAGCGGTGTTGTTCAACATTCTCAGTGCTGTTCTATTCGACGCGGCCAACTGTTAGAAGACGAGGTGTCGTTTTTTGCACCCAGAACCATCTCTCACCTCCTCTTGCAGACACTGATTGCACCTTACCCGCACCGCTCTTAGGAACTGCCCCTTGAACATACCCTTTTCGGCCCGAGGGGGGGGGAGACTCCTCTGCTGGGGGGTCAACTCCGGCTTCGCCCCAGGTGTCCGCGTTCGACCCGATGGCGAGTATGTGGAGCATTCCCATAGCCGACCGGACCCTGAGGCGCGAGCGGGGATGAGTCCGGTATGAAGGGCAGATGAGTCGGTACATGGCGGGATGGAACTTGTTGGTAGATGGTAGATGGCGGGATGTGTGTATTTGGTGTTCAATCACATGCCCAGGGTAGATCTTCGGATGGGCTGTCAAGACCGGTGAGCCGGGAGGTGGATGGGAGGTGGACCGAGGTGGACAGGAAAGAGACCTTTCGGTAGCTAAGGCAGCTAAGGCACATGGTATCTAGCAAAACATGGAATATTGAGGATGATTGGAGGTGATTGCGAGTGTTTGGCAAGGGGGTGCAGGATTCTGCTTAGACATGGACCATCAAAAGTCCTCAGATTCACAGTTCATAGTTCTTACAGTAACTATATAGCTGCATTTGTTCTTGAAACGGTGTGCATGGGTTGTACCCCAGGGGTTTAATGGCTGTCCTTGCTACCCTACCTACTTCATGACCCATCTTGAGTAATTTTGCAGAATAGCCACCTGTGTGACCGTGCGACTGTGTGTTCTTATTTATTTTTGTGTGAAGGAGACACTTGGTTCGGGTGGATGTTCAGAATCAACACACATGGCCCATGGCTGGTTCCATGGCTCCCTTCTGGCCTTCTTGGTTCGACCACACCCAAGCCGAAACAAACAAACAGGCCAACAGATTTTCAATCACCATGTCTGCCAGGTTCTACGTACCACATGCGCGCAGTGCACTGTTGCACATTGATGTTGCAGTTCATCAAAGCACTGTAAAACGACAAGAAACAAAAAACGATAACCTCAAAACGAGGTTTATAGGGGAAATATTGGGTTCTTTTTTTGCACGACCACAAGTGGCCCATCCAATGGTTCCATGCTGAAAACCTGGTTGTTAAGCGGATGTTGCCCGATGGTTGGTAGTTGAAGGTGGTTTCTTTTTCATTCCTAAGTCGTGTTGACGGGGTTTGCCCCAATTCACGGTGATCGGTGGAGGGAGGGTGATTCGGGATTCCGAAAGAGGAAGGTAGAGCCAACTCCATCCACAGAACCTATCGGAATCTCACCTCCTTAAAGACTGAACCCGAGAGGTAGCGTGTTGATGTTTTTGTTTTGAGGTTGAAGAGCCGTTCACATTTGCCATGATGTAGTTTGGCTTGTGCCTTTTTGGTGGGCTCAACAAGACGTGCGAGGCACTACTCAAGCACCCTGAAACAGCCAGTGGACATGGTGGTTCTGATGATGTCAATCAACAGCATGTTTCTATTTGGAGAAGATCACACCGCACCGTGAAAGAGCTGCCATCGCAGGCCCCAGCGCAAGGCAACCGCCGTAGCGTAGCCTTGGCAACTTGATTAAACAGTGCAAGCATTGTGCTCAGTCGCTAGGGGTGTAAAGCCCACCCTCCATGCAAATAAAGTCAGCCTTGTTTATCAGCATTACCTGCATCAGCAGATTCTGGGCTACACAAATCTACACAACACAGTACTTCTGAAACGCATCTCGTACCGGTCCATCTCCAAACTGAAGGAGTTACATTTTCCTTTGAGGCAATGTAGATATCCATGGTGCTCTAGGATTTTGTCCAGAAACTACAGCAAGTACTTTTGTTGTGCCGAACTGGGCTATTGGGAGCAGACAGCATGGGATCTTCAGTGAATTGTGGAAGATGTCTGAGTTTGGAGTTTTGCATTTCTTGTGTTTTGAAGTCTTGATGTGGCTCAAGAATAGAGTGCCATTTAACCATATTGAACCCCACTGGCAGGAGCAGAAATATAGGCTGGCACCAGTCAGTCCCTCCGTGAATCCTTATTTTGGAGCACCTATGTCTATGATGTGGTTTCGCGGGGCAGCCATATTTGCACCCCAACTTGAATCATTGAATCGCTGGTCACTGAACACAACCCCTCATCTGTCGAGGACATTTGCAGAACGGTCATGATGGGATTCCAGTGATTTCCGAATCTGCCAGCGTTCGACCCACAGATGGGGTTTGTTCTTTCGAGGCCCCTCTTCCCCACTGGCCCAAGGACCTTTGCTCCCCAAACTTCATCTTCAACGTGGGCTATTGTGGGGGAAGCCCTTCCCATGTCCACGCGGATCTCCCCAGCCACCTCGGGGAGTCCTGTTGGACATCGCCACCATTGGGGATCCAGTAAGCCACTGCCTCTGCTCAGATCTTGGACGAATGAAGCAGCTGGCCTGGTGAAGCCTGGTGATCTCCCAGATTGACTTGACTCACTAGATGTCCTCAAGCGAACTCTCGCTCATGAAACGCGGGATCTATGGGATCCTCCCCCCACAGAACTGGCGAGGTTTGGTGAGGTTGTATAGTTTTCATTTCCTGCTCCAGGCTTATGTTTGTGATGTGGACATCTGGTGACTTTTCGGAAGCTGCTGCCCAGCCATCCCAAAAGAAGGGAGCGCCGAGTTGGTGAAGGGTGGAACGGCCGCACCGTGGTGACCTCCAACCTTTTTGCGATGGCCTCCACCTAGTAGCTTCTTGCTCCTAGTAGCGATGCCAGGAGCCCCTAGTAGCTTCTAGACGTAGGTTCGTCAATGACCTTCAGGAGTTCATGAATACACAAATGGGGCGTAGTTTGCTGTGGGCAGTACTGGGGCGAACACAGTTTCGGCATGGTCTCAACTCCAAGACCAACGAGCAATGAAACGCAGTGGTACCAGAAACATTCAGAACTCTACCCATTCTTTTGGGGTGTGGAATGGAAGTCCACCAGTAACCATCAAGTAGGCATGTGTGGGCTATAGTCCATCCATTGGTCGCTTTCTTGGGATGTCTTCGATTGTTTGAGCATCCCTGGTTCCAGGCATTTCCAAGGGAGTATCGAACCCCTCCAGTGCAAACGACCCAGAAGATCGTCAGCTTATATCAGATCCTACCAGCGAGTTGTCACACCAAGAAGAAACTACAATTCGAACGACCACGCGTGAGCTCGGATGTGCCTTTTCTGTTGAGCTCTGGGTTCAACCCAGAGGTTTCACCCCCAGTTTTGGCATCCATCAAGTAGATCTGAGAAACAAGCTCTAAATCAACTGAAAGAGGGGAACACCCTAGGCCTGGTTTGGACTGGAGCGACGGGTCACCATCTTCACGTGACGGGAAGTGGAAAGTCGTGTTCTGATTCATCCAGAAGTCTGATTCATTCGGATGTCTTTTTTGAACCCCAGGGGATTCAAGTTATTATGGAATTTCCAGGGGTTCGGAATGCAACACCTCCACTAAATCAAAGCCCACCTGAATGTGTCCACGGCGACCTGAACTCAAAATCCACAGATTTGGTTCACGCTTCTACTTCCATCTACCAGCAGTTGGGTGCTGCGTGTCGCCGTCGACACGGGCCAGGTTGGACCGGTCAAGACTGCCCGATGTAAAGACACACAGACGGAGGATCGGTTCACCTGGTGGAAAACGTCCAGCGACGCAGGTCATTGTCTTTGTGCAACTCGTGCAGATTCTTGTGAGCTACTTTGAGTGCCCCGCCACGTCTTGCTGCGCAAAGCAGGGCCAAAAAGATGTTCAATAAACAAAGAAGCACCCGCGATTGAAGTAACTAGTGTGGGTGTTCAATCCATCTCAAAGAGAACAACAAAAATATCAACAAAAATCCAAACACATCCAAGAACCATCTAAATCAAAGCACATCCAAACACCACTCCGAAGGATTTTCCTTTCCTTACCGATGAACCGCTCGAAAAAGCCACGCTTTAGTAGAAACGGGGCTTGGGTGGCAGTTTGGGGATGGGCCAAGGTGGTGAGGGTGGTGGGTAAAACATGGGAAAACACTGCTTTCCTAATGCCTCCAGTGTTGTTGTGTGCGATTCTCCTGACCCACATGTCTTCCCTTCACCAACTCAGCCTCCCTCACCATCCAACACGCCCACACACATACAGGCCCTTGACCGTAAATTTCACGTTCAGACCACTCCTCTTCCGCGTCGGAACCGACTCGGGGTGGTCCGCAGGTACTCGGCGCAGGGGATCAGCTTCGAGGACTTCTGGCAGCTCACGGTGATCTCCATCATGGGTGCCCTCCGCCCCGCTCGGTCGCCGGGTCGCCTCGCCCCGCTCGGAAGCGAACCGGAACCGAGTGCAGCGCGTGGAACCGACCTTCACACGCTTTCTTAAGAAACGGAACAAGGCATACAAAGGGTGAGGGGATTGGAGGGGAACCAGGAAAGCACCAGGAAAGCGCCCAAGGGTTGACTTGGTGGCACTTGGTGGTCCCAACGATGTGAATGAGGTTGAAGACCTGGGTATATGTTGGGTATTTGGTATTTCTACCACTTTTTATGGCATGGCAGAGCTTTATTTTGCAGATGTGTTGTCGGATTTGAGGTGGTGACGCAGGTCCATTGTCTGGTATTTGCTTTGAGGGCACGAAATACCCATCAGTCGGTCGCCGGGGTGAAATCGAGGTCGACGCGAAGGGAACGGATGCGGGAAACAGAATACCAGCAAAGTAGCTGGCCATGCCAGGACTTCAGGTATCAACATGCAGCTATTGAATGTGATGTTTGTAAAAGAAGGGCTGTTTTGCAGCAGGAATTCCGTTAAGACCCACCACTAGCGACCGGTTTGAGTCCTCGTTTTCCCACCTTTTCCCATCTTCCCGACGGGAACGTTTCGTGTTGGGTTTGGCAATGACCGAAGGGAACGTTTCGCCGGATGGAACGCGATTGGAAGAGCATCTATTCCAAGAGGGAGTGGAGGAGACATTCCTTTCCATGCGAAAATGGATCCCATTTCATTCATTTTCCTTTTCATTTTTCCGGGCCGTTTCCAGCCTTAACCATGGCGGATCGTTCACCGTATGGTCCCATGGGCGAGACACTTCGTTGAACCCAGAGAAGGTTCGGGTCATCCGGTTCGGGTCATGTCCAGAGGATGCTGGTGGAGTTTTTGGGGTAGCCGGTTTACACTCAATTGGATTGCCGGAATTCAGCAGACTGCCCCCCGCTTCTGCCTGGCCAGTGATCCCAGTCGTTTGGTGTTGCAGATTATATAATTGTGCAATTATATAATTCTACAACCACCCGCAAAGGACACCGCTCACAACAGCGTTTTGGACCTTGGCACCGTAACTGGCGCCGTCTCCGTTTCGGCCGTCGGATGGCACGTTCGCCCCCAAGGACCGACCGTCGACGATTCGAGTGGATTGGGTGGACTGCGGTCGCTCCAGGGGCTTCACCCGAACCGTCGGTGTTTTTCGTCACGACGTTTGGGCTCAGACCTTGCACGCCCATTTTGGGCTGCACGCGGCACCGTGTGTTGGTGTCTCTGAGAAGGACGGCCCCACCCGAAGGGCCCGTAGTGGTCTGGGGTTTTTGGGGGGCCGCACTATACTTGGTCTTAGTTCAATTGGATGCTTTGTCGTCATGGCTTCACCTCCACTCCCCGCAAAAGGTTATAATGCTGGGCTGAGCAAAAAGGTTATACCAGAACTCTGAATCCCCCAGCAACGGCCACAGACACTGTGGGGACCACATTACTTTTGAAGTTGTTCAGACATGGTTCATGAAACAGAACGACCAGGAGTTCCATGAAGTTTGATGCTTATGATCCCATTCTCTGCACGTCCCTGAGCTCATTGGGTTGGGTCCTCTTCTTCCCCATCCCAGCGGGTCCCAGAGAGTCTTTGGCTCAACCCAGGACACCACGGAAACACAGGGAAACCGAGAGCCCGCGGAAGACTTCGCTTCCGCAAAGCACCAGTTTGGTTGATTACTTTTTCTGCCAGAACGTAGTCGACGTTGGTAGAAACCACAAGGTCATCTGGAGCGATCGGGAGACCAGATTCATCATCATAGGGGACACTGTCTCTAAACATCAAAACATCCGTGCATTTCTCCGGAGAAACACATTTAGAGATGATAGACACAAGCCCTCCGCTTATATAGAAGAGGAACAACCTTGTTGGGAAGAATGGGTGTGTTGAAGAATTCTGACTGGTCAGACGGTCAAACTATCAAACTGTTCATCGTCATTGCGAATCTCAAGGTGGTATCCTCAATTCACAACCAATTGTCCTTTTCTAATCGAAACCCCAGACACGCTTGAACAGCGTTTTTCTTCGCCTTCGAAGAAGGCGTTGTTTCTTTTTTTTAGCCAGGTGCAAAGGTCACTCGTGTGATTTATCCGCTGCTGAAGCTAACCTGCTACTGATGGAGATTTCCACATTTGCTCATGGCAAATCCTTTGATTTAGTACAAACGATTCAGTCAGATATGACCACTTGGGTTGTAGAATCAAGAGCGGGTCTGATCCTGGTTCATGTATTAAGTGAAGGGTTCCACGTAAAAACGACCCCGGAAGGTGATGATTTGAAGATCTGCAAGTCCCGTTTCGTTACGGCCCATTTGTGCAGATGGATGGCGAGGTCTTGTTGGTAGAAGTCCCAAACATGCGCTGAGCAGTCGGACTTGAGGTGATGCGCCTGAAGATATGGCTAGAAAGAGAGAGAGTCATGATCCACAGGTGCAGGTTGCTGACCCCCTGGAACACTTCCCAGGCAGATCTTTGTAACTAGATCCCTATCAAGTCACAAGGCCATCTCGGGGGGGGTGTCTGGCGACCAGGGGGTGTCAGGTCCATCCGGTACGGATCTCAGAGTCGTTGGGACTATATCGAATCCCTCAGTGGGACACCACATCGACTTTCAATTCCTTGAGGTGGCGCCACCCACCTTACTAGTGGGGTCGCGGGGCGGAGGCCGCAGAGGCCTATAGTCACTTGTGTGTGCGCGTGCAACCTATTCTCTAAGTACGCGGCTTGTAGGGGTTTCTTCCTTTGTTTGCACCCCGATGGTAACCGGTCCACCAACAGCAGGAATTGTTGGAAGATTTTAACACCTCAGTCCTCAGTCTGAGTCTTCAGCAGCGGGTCCTCCATCCACGTCAACTTTACCTCCGAGCGCGGAGAGTTGAGAGTCTTCTCGCTTCGCGATCGGTTCGATGGATGATGAAGATGAGTTGGAGAGCCTCCTGGAGATGCCTTTGGAGCTGCCCCAGAAGGTGTGCGGTGCCGGACTGGGGACGGTGCCGCGAAACGCGGTGACTTTTGGACCGAGGGTTCCTCTCCAGTCGCGCCCAGTCAGTCAACCCCCAAACCCATCCATCGACAGGCCTTCGGCTGTCAGTTTTGGGTGTTGGGAATGTGGCGCTTCTTTCGGGTTTCTTTGGAGAACTCGATTAACACCTTCAAAAAGAACTGCCTTCCCCTCCGGGTTTCGAGGTCTGCCGGGGGTGTTCGGAAGACGGTGGTGGATCCGGTCGAAGATCGGCCCTCGGGCCACGCGAGAATTCACCGGGAGGCGGTCTGGGCGGTGGCGAGAAGAGCGTGTTTGTTGACAGGAATGTTTTGGGAGGGTGTACACAGGTGTACTGCACACTATTTGGAACTATTGAGCTGATGATGATGCCTTCGACACATGACTCGAGTGCACAAGGATCTTTCCTTGACCCCACTTGACCCTTGCATTCTGAGAACTTTTCATCAGACAAGAAGGGAGGAAACAGAACCACAGAAACCTGTGACCAACAATTATGTAAAACATGTTCAAACTACTATCTTAAAACTAAGCTACTCACACCTGGCAATTATATGGTATAGATAGAGAGAAAGAGTCTTCCAAACCCTCTAGTTCCAGGGTGGTGCTGTTTGCTTGGGGTCAGTATAATCAAAGGTCCACCTCCCATCCCATGGTCACAGGTCAGCCTTCACAGGTCGCCCTTGGGGTGGCTGGCACTATTAGCGATGGCCTCCAACCTAAGAGCGATGGCCTCCACCCTACTAGCTCCAAAGACGGTTTCAATGGAGACCCCAACGGACCTGTCTCTGCGCCTGTTGTGCACAGCGAGACAGAGGTGAGTTCCCCCATCACACAACATGGAAGTTCCAACGAAGGGACATTCCAAGTCCAAATGTGGTATCCAGGTTTCCAATGCTAAAGATGTTTTGCGAAGCTTCATATGTGTTTTTGTTTCATGCTTGGCTTTCCAACTGGACCTCTTGTAGTCTTTCGTGCTGACCGTCCAGGTGACCCGCAAGGGCGCCCCTCCGAAAAGAGGTCCGTCCCGACCCCGCTGCACCCGCTGGCGCCGTGCAGGCGGAAAGAAAGCCGAAGCCCATGCAATGGTGCCTTGGAGACATGTGGTTTTCACGTGCTGAATCGGATTTGACCCGGGCAGAAGGATTGGCGTGGGGATAGTTGTTTCTTGAACATGAAATCGTTTCCACATCTTGTGCATAAGGGGCATATGCTGCATACAGGGCAGCCTGGCTGTCCTATGTATTTGGAGTTCGCTGATTATGGCTTTTGGGTCATTGTGTCAGAGTTCTGCACGTCGAATCCAAGAGTTGAGGTAGCTCCCGTAATGTCCCATACCAAGGACCAAGACTATCTTGATTGAAGGGAGGGGAGGAAGGGAGTGAGGGAGGAGAGAGAGGCAAATGGACTCAGAGAAGAAGAGCAGCCGGAAATCCAAAGAAGAAAGTGGAAGAGCAAGGCGAAGAAGAAGCTGCGATCAATGCTCTCGCAGAACTAGCAAGAACTTGAAATGATCCCGGTGGATCCCAATCGATCCCAATGGGAACTTTACGATCATGGAACGAATCATCTCAATGGGACGAAGAACTTCCGATCCTCCCCATGAGGCGATATACATGTCAAAGGCCTCACTTCCTCTGGCTAGCCGCTGTGCTCGAAGACAGAGGGGGAGAAGACAAGTGAGGATCAACCCCGCTGTGCACGGCGTTTCTTTCCACTTCCGAAGCTTCCGAAACGCCGCCGTTTCTGAAGGGAGAGACACTCCATGAAACTCCCCACCCAACAGGCGTTTCTGTGCCGAACGGCTTCGTGTTTTGCACGAACAGATATGGACCGGTGCTCCCCCGGCCTGGCCGATCGTCGGGACGCTCTAACCGGCCGCCGACCACCGCTAGTGGGTGGCACAGGGGCGCGCACGCCCGCGCGCATGTGCACACCGCACCGTCCCTCTCATTTGCACTCTTTTTGGAAAACTCTGT